GGTTGAGTACGTGAGGAATCCTTTACGAGCAATAAATACCCAAGGAGTAACTCCAATCGAAAATGAAGTGCATGCAGAGGCATGGCAGTATGACTCACCATCAATGTAGAACAAATACCCCACCCAATAGCTGCGCCAGCCACCCAATAGGATGGTGGAAACAACTTTGAGACTACCGTTGCAGGCACTTGGCAGATAATCTAGGAGGCAACAAATCAAAACTAAAACAAGGAACTAGGATTGCGTTACTCACATACGAAAAGAAGAATGCCGAGTTAACCCAATCGAACAGTACACCTGTAGGGTCACCATGAAGGTTCTCCTGCACGAGTCCCTGAAGGCGCGCATTTCCAAGATTTGTGCGATCAAGATCTGGTTCACAATGAGTATGACATTTGGTAGCCGCCTCGGAGAAAAAAAATGACCCACACGCCAAGAGGTAAAGCAAGCACGTTATGGGCAATATCCTGCGATCAAGTTTGCGCACAAGCCTCTTCTCTTCCTCAGGCGTAGCAGTAAGTTTGCTAACGTGCGCATCGTTGGTGAACTGGGCTTGTTTTTCATCGAAAGATGCGCGCTTTTCTTCGTCAGACATGGTGGACCTAGACACAAGGAATCCTGGCGAAGAATAAGCTGCTTCAATATTTATATGCTTAGCGCGCAAAAATGCTCCACGGGCGCTCGAAAGTGTTGCAAAGGTACAAGTGCGGTTGGTTGGGAAGGAGAAGAAGACGAGACCGGCAGTTCAAAGAGGCAGAAAGTCACACCAAGCCGTTAATATTGGAAATCAGAGCGAGACGCCCAGTGCTGATCAGGTGGACTTCTGTGGACTATCAAAATGCATTTGCGGGGTTGATGGGGGTGAGAGAGTCACATGAACAATCACCTGACATAGCAACTATGTATACCATCATGCTGGCCAAGTTGCCATTACCAAGCTCAACCCGCTCGCCTCTTCTCCTTCTTTACCTGCTCCCCTGAATCAGACATCTCGCCCTCAAGCACGGACCTACTCCTTTTGTTCTTTGGTTTGACGAACGTCCCTCCACCATAATACTTCGCTTCGCCCATTTGGGACCCGTTCCCAATATACTCCAGAAACGGTTTCTCTGAAATTTGCTGAATCGCGGAGGCCCCTGGAAGATGAAACGAAGCCCCCTTGATAGCATTCGGTACTCTCCATCTACTGCGATAATGTGAAGGAAAATCCAAGTAGCCTTGTAGATGTATGTGATACAATCCTGTCCACCGAAATCTTCACCCATATCAGTGAAGTTGATAACAACAGGATCCATAGAGACGTCAAAGTGATTGCTGAGAGCATCGAAGAGCGCAGAATCAGTTCCTTTAAGATATTCTTTTTTAATGCTCGCAAGGCGGTAGAGATGGGTGAGCGGGAAAGCAACGATGTTTGTCCCTTGTTCGTGCAACTTCCTGATTTCATTAATGACTCCTTGAATCAGTGTCTTATCCAAGTTAGGGTAGGTGGTAAAGTAAGATGCAAGGCGCTTGCGGCGTCTGGCAGCCTCCTCTAGGGGTGTCTGCTTGTCATCTTCTTCAGCTGGAGGCTCTTTCTCGACGACTTCGACGTTGTACTGGAGCACGACTCGTACGCCCTTGGTCACAGGCATGACTTTATGGTATCCGTGTAAAACGCGACAACGACTGGTCTGAGCTCGAGCTCCTGCCCGCGGAGAGGGACAGGATGCATATCAATGCTCGCTTCAACACCTCCATGCCTCAACATAAGCTCTCCCCCCTCCCACTCTGTATTAAGCGCAAAGAACACCGTTCCATGATGCGCATCGCTATGCGTCGAATCGCGATGCCAATCGAAGTGCCCCCCTTCTTCATATATAGCAAGTTTGTATAACTCGATTTTGAGCTTCTTCCCTACAAACATAGCAGGTGCTAGCTCTTTTTCGAGGTATTTTGTGATGTCTTGCTTATTTGAAAAGCTAATATCATCTGCCTTGAGCTCCGTCCCACGCCTGTAAGATGGGTCCATGACTGTCTCTTCACCTCTGCCGAATGGAGAAGGAGTTGCATGTTTTTGAAATACTGCGACGTCGGGGTTCTGCCATGTACCTGCTTCCTCGCCTTTGACAAGTACCGGCTCGTTAGTGTCCCATGAGTCTTGAATCATGGATACGAAGGGACTGCCGGCAAGCCTGTTGAGTGCTCCAGCGAGGCTGGTGTTGGTGTGCATTTTGTACCCTTCTTCGTCGACCCTGTAGGGCAGAGCTTCGAGATGCCTATCGACGCGTCGGAAGATGAAAACCTCGTTCTCTGACTCTGCGGTAGTTGATACGCTCTCATTTGGTTTAGACATGGTAGAGAGGGGCTTTTGCTGAATTTGCCGCGAAAACTAATTTGTTGGAGGTTTCGTCCACGAGTAAGACTTGGGAGAATAATCATTCATGTCGTGTCTACCCTCTATTTATACTGTATAATCCCATTGGTCCTTTCTGTATTCCATAGTCAATCTTTAGGAGTATCTGTTATGTGAGAGGGTCATGGGTCATGGGTCATCCGCCATCCGCTGTAACGATCGACGTGTTCCGCCGTGTTCAATGTTAACATGTCCAACACATTCAAAATGAACTGTTTTGTCGTCGGCAGTGATCCAAAGCATATCTTTTCCATCGAGATTCCAGGTAAAACAGTATATACTTTGAAGACGGTTATCAAAGAAAGACGAAGCCTGAATTCGATGACATTGACACCAACTATCTCGATATCTGGAAGGTGAGTACTTAATGTGACACCTGCAACCTAGAACCCTACAAAATTATCTGATATTTTGAAAGGTTGACCTGCCTGTAGATAACACGCTAGAGCATAATCTTGGCAGTCTCAAACTTGACCCCGGGCAGCGGCTATTTTCTGTGGTTAGATTGTCCAAACTGTTCCTCGATCTCCCCGAAACAAATCACCTGAATATTGTTGTCCAGCGGGCACCCCGTGAATTGTCCTTCAATATTACTACTTTTTCTACCATACTGATTGCTCACTAGCTGTTTCCCCCAACATTGGCCTCAACTGCTTGATCTTAGGCGACGGCCCTAAGTGTATTTTCCAGATCGAGATTTCACGGACGGAGACTGTCGTTGACCTCGGAGACTTGATCTGAGTTGATCAGGTCTAAAAATGAGTTTGCATTCTGTCAGAATAATTCGGGCGTTGTTGAAGTCCTTCGCATTTCGCATGTGATATTTATTTTACATTCTACGATAAGATAAGAATTACCATATATATAGTTGTACCTACGAGTCGAGAACCTTTGCGCGTTTGCAAAGGGTTCCCTGCCTATAACATTTCGTTATTCATTGTTAGCGCAGCCGCGAAATTCCAACACATTCCGCCACCTACGAATCACAGATAGTTTGACTATCTGGAGCGTTTCCTCCCTGTGGACGACAGGCTCGAAGATTATCTCAACAGTCTCAATTATTTTATTAAGGAACCACTCTCTCCTGCGGCTAGAATGTTCAAAGTGTTCCCCAACTTGAACCTTCCTCACTATGAGCACCTGCATATTGTTATCCGACCGCTCAGTGAGTGGTCGGTCCATATTACCACTATCACGTCCTCCATCCTGATTGTATTCTCGTACTTAGTATATCCTTCCGTGAATAAAAGATATGCGTACCTTTCCCAGCGGGTCAAAGACCCTCCGTGGTATGGCGCCCAGTCATCCATACTTGCTGCAAAGCAATGCCAGAATATTCCACTTACCCTTCTCGAGCCTATATTTGCTCAGTTCGTGGATTATTTTCAAAATTATCGACCGATTGACAAAGATAATCGCTTTGTCCGGGAGCTTTCGGAAAGGATGAGCTTTTTTTATCCTGATGAGTACTCCGGAATGGATGTATTAAAGGAAGTGCTCGACTCCTATGGTATTTCGGCACAATGTGTGATGTCAATGGACGCACCCTTGTCTGAAAAGTTTATGGCGATAGTAGCGAAGGGAAGGAATGGGCTCGAAAATGGGGATTTTCCCCCATTCCCAGCTGAAGCAAATTGCTATTATCTCAAGTTTGTTCAATCCTTGAATGAACAACGGCGCGCAGCTCCGATCCGTCCTTCCCTTGTTCCATGTCACCGTCTTCGGCAAGTCGATTTGTTATCACAGCGAAAAATAATCATGATTGCCACAGCTTCCAGAGCACTAGGCGGCGTCTGCATCTGTATTAGTGGCTCGGTTTTTGCTGCAAGAGCCCAAACCGACGTGCTAGTCCCCATCATTCCGCTGTTTTGGCATCCAACAGACCACCTTATGCAAGCGATAGCAACTCGCACTTTTTGGGCTCTCGAGATCGCCACAAAGAGCCTCGAAGGTTTGTACTCCGCCCCCATTCCATCGCTCACACCAGAACACCCGTCCCTGGAATGTCCGTATCCGCGTCACTATACAGATGCTTCAAGTCTTCGTCAGGGATTCTCGTATCATGAGGTTCAGAACCTCAGTCATCGACTTGTTTTCTCTGGGACGACCGATAACAGTGCGCACATATACATGGAGTTCGTCAGGAAGTACTCGTCCGAGGCGCACCGATTCTGTGCGCGCCGTGGACACGCCCCCGAGCTTTTAACCTCGTTATCCTATGAACGTCAATCGAAAGGATATTCATCGTCCTTTGGGTGCGCAAGACGGGATGAAGGTTGAGGTGAATCATGATTTGGAGATGCTGCGTTATGTATTTCATCCTGATCCTTCTTGGGACGACATTAGTTGATGATGGTGTAATGTCTACCAACTTGAAGGAGCCTGGGGGACGAGAACGTTTAAGGAACCTGCATGCTATCACTCTACCTACTAGCATATATGTAGTACCTTCAATTGTCAGATACACGGTAGTCGATCAGCGTTATTGATCATTCTGGTTTGTGGTGTGGCGTCTAGTATGCTATAGTTGGTTGCAGGTCACACGCAGCTTCTGCCGAGGTCTTTATTCGTGCCCGGTGATAGGCAGCCTCGTCGAAAACTTCTCCAAGGCGATATAGTGTAGTGGTTATCACTCGGGATTCTGATTCTTCATGACTTCCCGAAACCCAGGTTCGAGCCCTGGTATCGCCTTAACATTTTGCCTTTTTACAAAGGCAAGGACCCGCTTGAGGTGTAATGTTTTTCCATCGAGTTGTCATTGTGGATCCTCCGCCGCCAAGGCGATAGGGCTTTTCCCCATAACCTTCTTCCAGGAAACATGATGGCACTCGCAGAATAAAACATAGTAGTTGAACATTGGTAACGTGACTAATTGTGGAAACGAACTATTACAAGATCCGTGTTGGCCTGCAAACCGCGCTTTGTAAAGATACACCGAAGTTGAATGAGTTATGCCCGCAGCAGAGGTATAAACATGGCTAGCAGTTACAAGAGAACCAAGGACATTCGTACAATTTTCTATCCCCTTATCCGATTGATACTCGGCACAGATGGCAAATTCTAACGGCAGCGAGTGTTGGGTCGTTTAGGTGATTGGGGCGGGGCGGAAGGACATGATCTCTTCGTACAGGAGCTCTTTGAGCTGTTCGCGGCTGATGTCGTCCTTGTGCACTATCGAATGCGATGAATATACAAACATGCCCGCTTGGCGAAGAAGAGTACTCACAATCAAACTCGAAGAACTCCGGGTCGAGCGGTGGCGCAACTGGCTCGTCATCGGGATCATGCTGAATCACAAGTAAGCTCATGTGCTCCAGACAGGAGATGCACATACATATGCCTCAAGGTAAGGATGGGCTAAAGCCTCTTCTACTGTTATCCGTTTCTTGGGATCGAAAGTCTAGAAGAAAGGGGTGAGCTGTTACTCGTATAGATGAGAAGATGACAGCTTACGAGAGTCTTCGTCAGGAAGTCTACAGCCAAAGGATTGGCATTAGGAAAGATTTGCGCAAATGGTCGGCGTTTGCGGAAAGGAAGAGCCCGAATATAGTCTCGCGATCTGCGAGTAGTAATGGCGTAAAACTCGTCCAGTGTTGGTGTACCGAGAACATCCAAGATCAAGGTGAGCTGGTGGTGGTAATCTCTACCGGGAAACAGAGGCTTTCCGGAGAGCATCTCAGCCAAGATGCATCCCACAGACCAAACATCGATAGCTTTGGTATACTGCTTAAACGTCAGCATGATCTCAGGTGCTCGGTACCATCGGGTAGCAACATATTCGGTCATGAAACCAGTCTCCGTGCCTGATGGTTCGGCGGTCTTTACGGATCTTGCGAGCCCAAAGTCGCAAACCTTGAGATCACAGTTGGCATTAAGAAGGAGATTTGATGGTTTAAGATCACGGTGGATGACATCCGCGGAGTGCAAAGCTTTGAGTGCGCGAAGGGTTTGATAAATGAAATATTGAGCGTGGTCATCGGAGAGGTCTTGTGTTCTAATGACGCGATGCATGTCTGTTTCCATCAGTTCCTGGATGACTGTGTGAAAGATTGAGTGGTAGAACGATTTGCATAACGAGTTTTGAACGCACGATACACTTCCTTGAATGCTTCTAGTGATGGTGGCTTGATGATGTCCAAAATTGAAATAATCTTCAAGTAACGTTCTGAGTGAGGAGAGATGTAGAACGAAATTTGGTATGTGCTCACGTTCTCGCTTACACCAGCTTCACTGAGGAATTTTAGAAGCTTGAGTTCTCGGAGAGTCCGTAGGCAGAACATGGAGTGATCGAAGGGTGCGATCTTCTTAATTGCGACTTTGCGACCACTGGGCCGGTGAACTGCTGAACAGACGATACCATACGCGCCCTCTCCAACGACATCAAGAACCTGATACTGAGTACCTGTGGATCTTGTGAAATCGGACAGGTAATGAATGGGGATCTGGACATACCGACGTTGAATCTAACTTTTCTCGGTGCGGGTGGTGCTTGCGAAGCAGACTGGCCCTGTTTCGACTTTGTAGAGGCAGCAGGAGCCTGCTGAGAGTTTTGAGGCATCTAAAGGATGGGAGCAAGGAAGGAAGGTGGACACGGGTGGGGAAACAAGAGAGCTATAAGCGCGAGGTACAAAGTGTAATAGAAGGACCTTGTCCAAGTTCCTAGTGAAGATTGCTAACAATGGAAGCAAATTCAGCTTCAAAGACAATAGGGAGCCCAAAACTGTTTGATTGGCACCAAGACAACCAATTCCGTTGTCAACTACTTACGGTATTTGCTATGGCGATACTGCGCTCTTGCCGACTGCTGCACAAAGTTCACCATCCTATCTTATCAACCACCATGAGGACCAAGTTCTAGATAGTCTGATCATATCTCTTTTCCTCTACTTTTCAAGCGGAATGCTCCCTGGACCCTGGAGTTGCAGAACTCTCTAGTAGTAATGGTTATCCTCCATGTTGATGATGACAATGGATTACATCATCTCAAGTCGGAGACCAGTGCATAAGGAGTCGAGTTAGAAACAAAAATACCACCATTCCACTACTACTGTCATTAAGCGTGCTGTCTCTACTGTTCGCGAACCTCGCCTTAATTCACAACAAAAACTAGTAGTCGAACAAGGGCAGCGCGCTGCGAGAGGTCGCATGTGGCCATGGAGGCAATACTAGAACAGGAAATCATGGGAGAAGCGCCAGCCTGGCGGAGATGACGGTCGGGCGCTCAAGAGGCGTGAGGCTGCGTAGGTCAAGGCGGTCAAAATCTAGAAGAGTACATACCCTAAAGAATCAATACGCACGTTGGTAGCATCAATAAAAATATGACCAGTAAGTTGGACAGTAACTTGAAGCAAGAACTGCAACAAAAGTTGCTCATTAGGAGGTCGCTGAGAAGGGCTAGCCATGTCCATATAAACTTTTGCGTGCTCAACTCCAGTGAGTTCTCGTGGAGTGTGCCACGGTCAAGAGATGCCGTCGCCTCGCTACGGAGCGTTAGAAACTAATGCCGACAGGCAGGTTTATGCTTTGGGCTAGCCCCACATACTGCCTGTGTATAACACGGAAGTACTACCTTTCAGTCTCGATGGACTTCATCTCACTCACCACCATAATCATGTTTGTCACAGTAATGCATAGCTACAGGCTACAGCAGCCGACCCCAATTCCATACCCTGCATGCAACCGTAGTAAGCATCATCAATTATCGTGCTCTGGATGTGCGGATTGTTGGAAGTGAATAATCCACACATTGGACAAGTGAGAGCACGAACCTTGGCCGGTCTAATGATTAAGACGTCCCCACTGGAGTTGGGAAGGCCTGGGTTCAATCCCTAGTCCAGCCACAATTTTGGGTTTCAAAACGGATCTCAGACGGCCACGTGTTTATGGCCGCTCGCAGGACAATATGACCCTGTTCCTGCCCGTCGGAAATCGAAGTCGAGGTCACAGTAAAACTTTTACGAATTTTGATGTCGAACACCAGAAAGAGCCACATCAGCAAAACCGCTGAAATTAACGCTTAATTCGCGTAGCCCAAGCGCGTTACGAACACTTACGGCTCCAGCGATGGTGACACGCGATTGGTGGAGAACTCAGATGGAAGTCAACACCGTAAGCTTTTACGAAAATCGGTGTAATCAAGTCCCAATGTGTTAGATCATATCACTGATCAAGATCACTGACCACTCTCAGGGGAACTACTGCATACTACATTGTACAATCAATTGCATAGCTACTACTACATACAGTCATTTGAAAGGGGTTACATGAAATCAATGTGCATCGTATGAAAAACTTCTTTGTCCGAGAACGTA